CTCTACTTGTGATGTCAATTTGGCTATAACTTTGTCTTTCTCAGAAATGAGATTTTGATTGTCGTCTACACAATGAACATATTCTCTCATCTAATACATGCTGTGTGTATAGTTAACTAACCAATAATGATCTGTTTCTCCTTGATATATTGTTTCTTCTTCTCTTCCAATAGTTCAACAACTTTGAGTTTAAGTTTCTCATAATCTTCTACATTAATAGAATATTCACTCATCTAATAATATGTACTGATGATACACTAACCAGTAATAATCTGTTTCTTCTCCTCTACTTGTGTCTTCTCTTCCAATATTTCAGCAACTTTAGCTTTAAGCTTTTCATTAGATTCTATTAAAAAATACAAAGATAGAAAGTATAATAATTTTGTTGCTTAAACTAATTTGCACTGCATGTACAGTAGCCCATAAATACATGTACTATGATTATTGCTAATCATACCATATATGGTAAGCAGAGCTCACTCTATATCAATCTCATTATTTCTAATGCATGGACAATTTGACCTATATTGAGTACAGGATACTATTTCCATACTCAACATTCTCTAATCCACTAGTATTATAATGTAAACAATGTACACATAAACAACAGTACAACACAATAGTACCTAATTCAAGACTTGATTTATTCTTTTCTGCTTGCTCAAGGAGAGTGGTAGCATCATCAAGTTGCTGACTAAGTGTTGCCTTTTCTTGAAGAACCTGTTGCTGCTCTTTCTCTCGATCTTGCTGTATCTGCTCCTTCTCTTTTATTTCTCTTTGAAGTTGTTCCTCATAGAATTCTCTCTCTTTTTGTAATTGCAGACGATCTTGAAATATTTGAAGTAGTTTTTCTGTTCCTAAATTCTCCAAATCACTCAGTATTCTTCTTCTTAGTTGATCTTGATACTGGTCCAGAGGTATTACACTAGTAGACCAATCATTATCACTAGTATATCCTATACAGTAACAAAATAGTGGACAATAAGAAATACACAAATTAATTACACTTAGTTACTATGGTAACCTTATTAATGATGGATTCATGTTCAATCATTGTATGTGTGACCTCTGTCAGTCTACACAGTTAACCACATGAACATATTATTGTATGGGTGCCTTTTTTGAGAGCTGTAATTTTTGCAGATTTCACAATTTTTTGAAGATTAGCAAAAGCTGTACTTCCACAAAAATGAAATTATCACGGTAAAAGATGGCAAACGGTATAAATTCAGGAAAGTTAAATTTGTATAAGAAATACTAAGGCAAATTTGGAAAATAATAATTATTTCATTTACTCTAGCTCCTATTAACATCAGTGTTTCTGTATCTGCAGTCATTATATTTCACTATTGTACATAGCAGGAATGAATTGGTAATAATTAGTATCATAGGTACACGTCAAATGCTCTCATTAAATATTCATCATAAGAATTACTTACTTTATT